AAACATATAAAAACATGTTATAAACGTAGCAGCAACTGTATATTTACTGATGTGACGAACTTGGACGTAACTGCGAACACCTTTGTTTTAATACATTAAAATTCCAAACTGTATATAGTAACAAAGAACCACACCCGTATAAACCGCCAAAACTTTACTCGTGCTCCATGCACCTTACATCAAACTTTATAAATATTAAGTAATGTTGCAGAACTAGCTTTAGTAGTTCCAATCTGTTTATGATTCATACAAATTACAAATGGGAAAGACCCACTTTAAAACAAATGAAATATATGTTAGTTTTACTGTGAAAATGACAAATGTTTTCAAAACATGTAGAACGACCAGTCACCACTGTTACTTAACAATATATAACTGTTTTTGGTCAATTAATTTTTTTCATCTTACCATGTAAAGAAGTAGACATCTCGTTATCTCATTATACATACATTCACCAGCAAAAACATGGGCCTCTTAAAATCACCAATATTTATGTTTGATTGTCATATAAACCATTAAGTTCCAAATTCGTGTTTGACATTTTTCTTACATTAATAGATTTCAGCACTCCATAGTCACGACATTTCAACAACGAAAAAAAAAATGTTTGGGTTGAGAATTATTAGAATAAAACACATTTTTTCTAGGGGTTTTTCAAGAAATACTTGATGCAAGCTATACATGTATTGAAATTTCTAGATTTATCTTAGAAGGGGTAAAATAGAACTGTCACACTCACGGCAAATTTTCTTCGCTTCAGATTTTTGAATTACCGTATTTAATCCATTAGAATAATTCACGCAAGCCATAGACTTGTTCTCATTGTCCAACAAATATATATCTTGCATGAGTTATTTTTTTATTTTTTTCACATCAAACTATACCGATGCATCTTTGTTACACATGTGAACCTTGTATTAAAAATTCAAAAATACAGTTGAAAATAATTTCTACTGCGAAACAATTTGAATTAATTGATTTTGCATTATTAAATATAATATAAAGTACTCTTTTTAAATTTTATCTTTTTTATTTTGCATTTTTTTAATAATAGCTTTTATGTCAAAGATCTTTTATTTAAAAACAAAATCCAGTAGCTACACGTATGAAAAGTTTATTTTGTGAAATAAAAAGAATCTACATATAACTGCTTGTCAAATTAATTTCAAAATTAGTTATGATGATTCCAAACGTTATGAAATAGTTTGTTTTAATAAATATTGATTAAGGATTTCATTTATTATATGGATATGTCGCACATTAACTATTCTTATCCTGGTATTTATTTTTAGTTTATTTATATATGAAATTTTCTATCTTTATTCCATATGAAATAGAACTACATTTAAAAGAATATATGACAAATTTTTATTCCATAGGTTTTGTAACTATATATGCAACACAGTTCACATTAAAAGAACATAAAAATAAAATTTTGTATTTTAGTCAATGGTTTCATACTTTAAACATTTTGAATATCAACGATTTAGCTGAATAGTAATATCTTGTGTAATGTGTATGTACTATTTTTCTAAAATTACATTCATTTTAAGTTTAAATTTAAGGAGAAAAAATACATCATCTTATGTCGTATGTGCTATACAGTTGTTAAAATGGACAGTTTAATAGCATATGCAAGTATTTATGTAGACACATCATGCAAAATGGAATAAGCATTTAGGTTTTTATATTAACATTCAGAAAAATCAATTAAAGTCATAATTGCATTCCGTTTATAAATGAAATTAAACAAAACGTATTGTATTGATGCAGTAATTATGTATACGATAAAGTCACGATTTATAAATAAAATGAACTGGTCGACTTACAATGTAAAAAAATCGGCTTTGAGCGTTTCTAATGAAGGTAAATCCAGAAAAGCGCTTCGGACGCATGAAATTTTAAAGGTGTATTTATTTTTTTACAGCACTGGGTAGATACCGCTGCTAGTGGACTATCAGTCCCTAGTGTATCATCAGATCAGTAGTCAGTACCTCGGTACTGACATAATTCAGAACAAACCTTTTAAAATTAAAATAAGAAACTATTAAGAAGTTAAGGTTTAACTCCCTAGTTGACCTTATATGAATTTGGCTATTATTTTTAGGTCATTTTGATAATGCTACATTTACACTTCAGTACAATAAGCATTCATATCTCAATGGTGGTATTCCTCTTCCATAGTATAATCTTGTTTAATTTTTTTGCATGAGTAAAGTTTTATCCTGTCCAGTACTATAGACAAAATTTCCCATAAAATTTCATTGCATATAAGAAAATAACCATCACTGGAAGTTAACCAATCAAATTTTCACCTCTTTTTTTCCTGTGTACAAGCTTTAGTAACCATGTAACCTCAAGTTTCCAAAATATTCTATAGAAACACCAAATGAAAAAATAATGGTGCTTTGAAACACCCAAGATATATGTTTATGACTCAGAAATGTTTTACTGCAATGAAATGTAGGATTAATTTCCTACAACTGTCAAATTCAAGGGAATATTTTTTTGTCCCTTTGTCGTATGAAACCGGATGTGACGACTATGATTTGGTGGTATTACACCTTAATATCTTGATTCACATTTAGAGAGTCAATTAAAAACTAATTTTATGACAAAAACAGATATTTTTTTTCTTTTCCATTGTAAAATATTTATTCCTCTGTAGCAGCAATATTCCAGCAGCGCCTTCATATAGGATAGTTGTCTCTAAATTGATACCACATTTCAAGGACTGCGTTTCCTATAATGACTTTATTGATATAGGGATTCAGATAGCAAAGAAATTATAAAACAAACGGTTTCTTATAGTCAAGCTGAAGTCATCCCTTCTGAAATGTTACAGACGCCATAAAGATTAGGTTCACCGTTATGGAAAATATGTGTCTCAGATGACCGCAGATAACCACACATATGTTCCACATGTAACAACAATAATATCCTCTTTTCCCCTACTATGATAGCATTGAGTGTGACTTATCACCGAATTTTACCTGCCATTAGCAACACCTCGTTTGTCACTATTGCAATAGGAAATTCATACCCTATCGCAGTTGGTGTTCTTCCTGGTTTTGTTTTAGGGGTTTCTTTTGTTTTCATGGAACCATATGTGCTGTTCGTATTGTTGTTTCTACCGGCAACAGTCTTGTGTATCCGATGTTCGTGAAAAACTTGTTTTCATTTCAAATGATCATTGTCGGTGAAGTTTAGGGTATACAAATTTACAAGGTTTTATGAATACGGTGATTTCGTAAGTGTATATACCAGACATTTATTATACCGCTGTTGTGTGGTGCCATATCAACGGATATGATTTATTGGATTATTTTCCTGGAGTTACATGGCGTGGGTTAATACTGAAACCCGAACCGCTGCCCAATACGGAGCACACGAATCCCAACAAGGTTTTTTGTTGATTGATTTGTATTTTTTTGTGTAGTGAATTCTTGAATTGTTTGTCTTGTCGCATTTTTGGACTAGCCTGCTCAGAATGCGAGACAGATCGATACTTATCCATTTACGGCTCTAACTATGTATAAAGCGTTATATCTTACAAGGAAAAAGTGTTTGATAATCCATATCTGGTATACAGATACCTAATATCCAATGCTCTTCTACCCGGTAGTTGATTTAGCCTTCCAACTGTTTTGATTCGAGCGCCACTGATTAATCTTCTGTAGACGAAACTTTGGTGAGTTTTATAGTATTAGCTTTCTGTTTTCCTTTTTTTCATGGTCAAATGATGAACGCTACGTTTTCGTGATTAGGTCTGTTGCTATACTAAGTGACTCTGTAAGCAATAAATCAACCATGTTTGGTATATAGAAAGATTGTAATGAGTATGTCATTTTGCCTGAATTCATCTGACCTTTATATGAAAATAAGGAGATGTGGTATGATTGCCAATCAGACAACTGCCAACCAAGATCCAAATGGTGTGGATTTAAGCAACTATAGGTTACCGTACGGCCTTCAACAAAAAGCAAAACCCGTACCGTATAGTCAGCTATAAGAGACCCCGACATGATAAAATTCGAGAATACTAGCGTCCTGGTTTATGACAACACAATAAACAAAAAACTAATATGACAGACAGCAATCAACGACAGTAGAATAACAGCACCTCAACATAGGAACAAAACTTTAAGAACTTGGAAATATATTGACTCATCAGATTGGCATGAAGGACTAAACAACTAATATATATACAAAAGACACAATGTACCGAATTAAGAGTACTCGCAGTTACTGAAAGCTAGTTCAAAGTCAATTACTAATAGTAAATGCCCGTCTAAAAGCGTGGATAAAACCTTGACTTCATGTGCATGGCTCATTGGGCTACGTTATGATAAAAGTCTTGAGAATATTGAGAAATAAGTAAACTGTTGATCATTTACCACGAAAATGATATGAAGACTAGCTAAACCGTGTCCAACGGTCTGTACATCTAATAGTCATTCTATCCATCTAATAAAAAATACGAAAAGGTGAACAACCATTTTCCTTTGCACAAAACGGCTAATTATAATCGATAGTGTATGACACCAGTTTACGTATGTCCAACATGACTGTGCAAAGGTAAATACTGTTCTCATCACGTAAAGTTTATCACTGGTGGTATCATTTATCATATGGCGTTGATAGTCAGGTTTGATCTATCCAATTGGATGTTAACAACTCTTCACATCTTAATAAAATTATTCTTTAAGTCTAACCGGTATTTTTTGTTAGATACTCTTCATCTGTTGTATTTCAACATCAAAGAACAAACCATGGCAAAACCGATGACACAAGAACACTCTTCTTATGAAAATTCGAATAAGATTATAAATCGTTTATTCAGAAGGACAAAATCTTGTCGGGCTTCAATTGATCAATGTATTGTATATTGATAAACAAAAGTGTGTTCTCAGACCATTCAATAATAAGTTCTTTATTCTTACATGTATATAAAAAAATCTTTTCAGAGATAAGAAAGAAATTAGTGAAGATGCATCTATTTTATTTATAACAATAATAATCTTTTCCTCCTGTTTTTAATCAATTGTGCCACTATTACAACATCCATATCCTACAAAAGTATGAAACAGTAGTCTTAATTAAAACATATTCAATAAAAGTCGGAATCCTTATGATATTCATTGCTAGCTTTTGTCAATGGTTCAGTAAAAAATTACTTACATATGCCTGAAATTATTATTCACAAGACCAATTTTATTTGAAATTTAAAAGGAATGCACAAGTTATGACAAGAAAGGTATGACAAAAATGAGGTGTAGAAATATTCAAGCCCTCGTTCACACCCTATCATATTTTCGTCATCCCAAACTGAAGTAAAACTTCATAGATTTGACGCGTTAATTTACTGCTTTTCTGTATTTATCTTCATTAAACACGATATAATCCAAACACTTTAATAACAAGGATGTCTAAGTACTTGCATACGTGAACACCTATAGGACCAAAAAGGATATCAAGAGAATAGCCAAATCCATTTAATGGCATGTGATCCATGAGGGAGTTGTAACATTATTTTCTTAATACTTTTAAAATTAATCAAAGGACACTTTAAGAAAGGTATTACAAATATCTCGTTAGTATAAAAGCACTGACTACCGAGCTGGTGATTCAGGCCGTTAGTTTTCTCTTTTGTATTGTTTTACATTTATCATTTCGGGGCCTTCTATAGCTTAATGTGCGGTTTGTGGTTTGCTCATTGTTGAAGGCCGTATAGTGACCCTATAGTTGCTAAACACTTCTACGTCATTTTGTCTCTTGTGGAGAGTTATCTCATTGGCAACTATACCACATCTTTTTATTTTCATATTGATAGATGTCATTATTGATGGAATTGAGCAATATGAATTTCCTTGTACAGCATTGTTTCAAGCTTAAGAAGCCCCTTTTAACAACCACAAATTCTTTATTGCACTGTTTAGTTGTTTTAAGAACTACCATATAAATCACAACAATTCTATGTAATGTTTATCCCTTTATGTGTGTTACTGTAATTTCAGAACTAATTCATTTGTTATATCAGAATGCGAGTTCTTGTTCTTATTATTGCGATACTTACCCAGTCGCGTTATTCGCATTAATAAAAAAAACCTCGCATTAATTTCTGAATTCACAGTAGTTGCCAAATGAATAAGGGGATTCATTTGACGAAGTTATGTTCTTCTTTGTTAGTGTTATACATTGACATTTCTTATCACTTTGCAAATATCTGAGAAACATTTTTTTCTTGAACAGAATTGTTTCAAACTAAAGAATCCGTAACAAATTATGCTGTATTAAATTTTTTAAAATGTCATGATTTACCATTAATGTGAGACAAACCATAAAATTAAACGGGAACACACCATATCACAAACTGAGCTGATTTTGTTTCATATACCAGTATACAAATATAATTTTTTTTACAAAATGTCTTTTGAACAGTTTGATGTTGATAAAATATCTTTTGAAGGCTGTGTTAGTGTTTTTACAATGTAAAGGTGATTGAGAGCATGACATATTTGACATTTATCAAATCTTGTCCATTGTTGAAGAGCGCGTATTGACATCCAGCTATCTTATATGATGTGTGTAGAATACATCTTTTCTTTCCCATGTTATAAAAAAATGCAAACCTCTTTATATTGTGTTTACTTTGTCTAATGAAACGAATTAGTTTGTAACTCGTTCATAACAAAATATAACAGATGTAGAATATTGAAATAAATGATAAAAAGGATATTAATTTTTTTTCAGATGTAACTTGTTACGGTAATGACGAAAAGTCGTACATACTGCTTTTAATATAAGAACATCTATCTATTTTCAAGCTTTGATATACTTACTTTCAGAAAGCTTGGATCTATTATTATCTTCTTCACATTTTCCTGTCAATTTATTGTAAGAAAAACCTTCGCTGCACTGGTTTTCTCCTCTATCTCCCAATAAAAGGTTACGAAGGACGTACATGGGGTCAATTGGCTTCTCTGGTCCTAAATAACACCAGTAAGTGTAGTTTCAATAACGAGATATAAATGAACAAAACATCGATAGAAATAAACACACACCAGGAATGAACGTAAGATTATACATGGTTTTATACAAATTCACTCTGCTAATAAGATGCTGAAGTGTTGTTAATTCTATGGATTTTTATAAGTGGCATCGCTTCCATTAATGTAATTTTATATTTTTACTAAACATATTTGTTTTTAAAAGAGAAAGATAAAAAATTACGTGTATTCTATATTATACTGCAATCAGCTATTTTACTATACAGATAAAGCTATACGTATAAACGTTAGCTTTATACGTCAATGACCTCAACTAACCTATTAGCCACGCCTACTTACCGGAACTACTGTATTTCATCAACAACGTCACGTCACAACCATGACAACGTGTAGTAACAATTGTCAAACTTTTGTAAATTTAAACTTGTTATGTCTTGAAATTCGTAATTTACATACCATATTTATTAAATACTATTAAATTAGTTTATTTTCTCTTTCTAATTCCTAAAAATGTCAATGTCTTATCGCCTGGACTTTATGAATTACTACGCTTATAGGGAAATACCCAACAATGGTACCCCAAGAGGGAAATTCCAAACACTTTTTTTTAACAATAAATTTGTTACGTATTTTATTTTATTTTTTACGTTTTTTCATCGATTGCAGTATAAAGACAATATACGTATAGTGTCTTGAAATATGAAATTTATTTGTATTCGGCACGAAACAGGGGGAAATGCTCGGTAAACCTCGCATTTCCCCCCGTTTCTTAGCCTCATACAAATAAATTTCATATTTCAAGACACTATACGTATATTGTCTAATTATTGGTTGAAAAAGGTTCCGTTCAAAATTATATTTCCTTAACGTTTACCAAGGTTTCTTCCGAAGTTAACACAAATAACCGATGTCGTTGGTGATTTCTTCCAGAGTTTTCATGCATAAGAAACGGTTCCCTATTATTGAGCTCGAACTTATGGCGTCCCATTTTTCCTTTATGAGCTATTTGGTAGGTGTTGAGAATATAAAGTTTTATTGTTTACTTATATTATTGTACTATTCATAGTTGACAAAGGTATATTGATATGGTCTTTGGGGAATATAATCAAACAGGGAAATATTAATGATATGAAAGCATGAGGATGTGGTAGGAATGCCAATGAGACAACTCTCCACCAAGGAACAAATGACGTAGAGGTTAACGACTATAGGTCACCGTACAGCCTTTAAAAATGAGAAAAACCTATACCGCATAGCAAGCTATAAAGGCCCTGAAATAAAGTTAAACAATTCAAACGAGTAAACTAACGGCCTGGTTAATGTCAAAAACAATAAACAAAAATAAAAAAGACGACAACCACTGAATTAAATACTCCTGACTTGGGACAGTTACATACGGAATGTAACGGGGTTAAACATTTTTGAGGGCTCCCAACGCTCACCCTGATCTCTGATAGTGGAATAACAGCACAACGTAACAAAAAACTAAAAAATCAGTAGAAAAGGGCTTAACTCTTCAAATCGATACAAAGCAAAACCACTAACAATAAACACTAAAGTCACAAAGTACAGTTCTGATAGTACGTACTCGCAGTTTCTGAAAGCAAGTTTAAAGGCAATAACAACTAATAAAACAATCATGTATCTGAGACTAAAACATCAATCACTACACCTCCAACATCCAAAAATTTAGTGTAAAGACGTCATTAACAGAGAAAAGCATGATAGGGCAATGTAAATATAAGCATTGAAAGACTGTAAAACCGTGAATATTGATAGGTGTATAGCAATAATATTTAGTTGTGTTTTAATTGTTTGATAACAAAACCAATAAAATGAGGTGAATTTTAAAAAAATCTAAAATTTAAAATTGATACTATAATTCAGCAGAGCATTAGTTAAGGAACAAAATAAGCTAAAAATATTGATAGGTTATGGAACTCTTTTTCGAGATATTTGATTTTAAACAAATGGGGGGAAAAGGCTGACTCGGACTTTCATTGGCACGTATACCACATCTTCTTATTCCTATTTAACTTTATATTTAGCATTGGCATTATTTGGGTCTCGAATCGTAAGACAAAAGAAATCTAGAATCTGCTTAAATTTTGGTAATGACCTTTTAAGGAGCTATTGAAGTCTTCTATGAAAAGAAAAGTGGGTAGTATTGGGCATGATATTTTATACTATATTGTTGGAAAAACACAAGGAGTCTGAACATCTGACAAAAAATCCTAAACCTAACCTGACTTTATCCTTATTTGATCTTTTAATATCCTTGTGAAAAAAGATGGTGGAAATAGTGAGTATGTTTGTGTAGGGGGCAATTGTTTTAAGATGATTTTTAGTTTGAATTAACTTATACAATTTCAAGTGTACCTTAGTAAAAATACATTAACATTCGATGACTGATAGATATGCAAACCAAATTGAAATACACCTGGAAACATATCTATTTGGAAAATATTTTAACTTGTTTTAGCTTCAGACAAAACCTGAAAGAATGGTACTATCCTTTTTAACGAATTCACACATATTCGTTGTTTCTTTTATCAAAACTATAGACGTATTTTTAATATTACAATTATAAACTAATATCGGTGAACTCAAATAACCACCTAGTTCTCTTAATCTGTGCACTAGCTAAAAGCCTTGATAATTACATCTAATATGCATGTAGCAGATTTAAATGATGAACAAAAAATAAAACAGAATCGTATGCACTGTAAGCATACATTTCTTAACATTTCCGTTCAATGATAATGATTCAGAAATTTGTAAGAACAGGCATTTTGAAATACATTATCAAGCTATGATATGATACCTTATATCCGGATAGGAATAGTATTTAAGCAAACCATATCTCGATTAAAACTCATGCTATTTACGAATTAAGAAAGATACGGTTAATTGAAACATGTGAATTATTGTTCGGCAATGCAATTGTGTGTACTTATTGACTGCTTGAAAAAGAAAGGTTAACTTTTTTTGTCTATTAAATGCCAAATATTGCTCGAGACAACAACAAGGACAGATCGATAGTTGTGAAGGAACAACAAACTTGCCATTCTCTTTATAACCAGTCAATGAATGTTTTATTCTATCGAACAAAGAAATATGCATACACCACCTGGCAAAAAATTATATGCACATGATGTATGAGAAGGATTTTTTGTCCTCGTCTTCGTTCTTAATTCGGAAACATACTTCGATGACAACCACAGACATGAACAGTTATATTATTATAACGTATAGATCGATTTTCTTTGTTCGAAATTGAAGTCAGAAAAGATGAAAAATGAAAACGATGCCATAAACATCCTGATTCAACCCATTTGGCTGAATGTTAATATTAAAAGATATGAAAAGTCATTTATTTTTGAAAATTATTTTAAATCGGGTATCTTTTTATAAGAGAGGCGAAGGATACCAAAGGAACATTTAAACTCTTAAGTCGAAAATAAACTGACAACGCCATGGCAAAAAAAGAAAAAGACAAATAGACAGACAACAGTACACAAAACGACATAGAAAATTAAAGACTGAGCAACACGAACCCCACCAAAAACTGGGGGTGATCTAAGGTGCTCCGAAAGGGTAAACAGATTCCTGCTCCACATGTGGCACCCATCGTGTTGCTCAGGGAAGTACAAACCCGGTGATATGTCTAATTCGGAAGGTCACATTCGGGGGAAAGGGGGAGAGATTGTAGTTACGACAATTGGAACACATTCGTCGTCATCTATGAAACAGATATTCCATAACGGTCAACCAACTCGTGATGGCGTCCGTAAAATTTACGAAGGGATGATTTCAACTTCACCACTTGGAACTCTTGATTTAATAGCTTCCTTAGTGAGCAGCAACCCTTTTTCAAGGAATTCATGATAGGAAACACAAGCCCTGGAATACCGTATCAACTGGGAAATATATACTCCTTATGAAGGCACTGCTGGAATGTTGCTACATAGAATTGGAAAGTTTACAATTGGTAAGCTGACATTATCTCTTTTGTTGTAAAGTTTTGTTTTCAACCGACCATCATTGTAAATTTCGAGATGTAAGTCAAAATATGAGGCAAACTGTATCTGTAGTATCCTTTATCTCAAGTTCGATGGGATAGATGCGTTCAACAAAGTCACCAGATTTTGAATTATTTAGTGAGAGAACATCATCTATAAAGCGGAAAATCAAGTTGAAGGATACTGCTAACTTTTTTTCTTTCTGTATGAAGTCAGCCTCATATGAATAAAGGAAAGTCGGCAAGAAGAGGAGCACGGTTGGTTTCTATGGGAATGCCGATTGTTTGTTGAAAAACACATCCCCAAAATGTAAAAAATATGTTGTCAATAAAACAAATCAAGCATCTTGATAATGTCAGTTTCAGAGAATTTTTTGTTTGAATCAGAGTGATGTTTTACAAAGTACGGTTAACCCTCCCTTAGACAAGAAACTTGTATCTACACAAGCCATTAATTCTTTTTCATGAAACAAAGCATGACCAACTCTTTCAATTTGCCTTTGAGTTTGGAATAGGGAATACTTGTGTAAAGTGTAGAAAAGTCAAATGTTTTAATATATTGCAAGATGAAGTGTCTTAGATAGTATGTACTCTAAAAGATCTTTGGAATTTTTAAGTATCCACATCTGATTCACGCCACCTCTAGAATATGTGGTTTAACAATAGCTTTGAAGCCCGGCTTTAATTGCTGAAAAAAAGTTTATGTTGATGATTTAGAAAGAGGTTTCGTGGAGCATTTGGAAGACCCAGCAATATAACATGTTTGTAAAGACACTTATGTATGTAGTTTAGGTATTCAATACAGTGAAGGAAGATCCGGCTCTTCATCTTTGGTTGAAATTCCAAAGGAACATAGATCAGACACCTATGATTATCCAGGATTTTCCTCCTTGGTAAGTGTCGTGTGGGTATATGTTGAGTTTCCTAGTGAATTGTCAATACCTAATTCATTTATCAAGCTGTTTATGTAATGTGATTTTCACAAAAAAAAAGTTGTTTGAAGCTTTATCTTCGGGGACAACAACATATTTGTCATGGTCTAATCTCAGATGGAAAAATGATCTATTCTCAGATAGAAAAAAAACATACTGACATTTGAACAACTTAAATCTCTATACAGTTAATTCCAATTTTGTTAAATATTATGGTCTTGTTAGTGCAATCCCAGATAGCTGGAAAAAAATATTTCAGAGCATGGTAGATTAGATACTATTGAAAATGATATTGTAGAAAGACTCAAAAATGTTAAAAAAGATACAATTAAATATTTTTATCGATTGTTTCTAGAAAATATTGAAGGAAATCTTTCAATATCACGATACAAATTGTCCGTGGATTTATGTGTTAAAATTGAAGATTGGGGGAAAATCTACTTCACTGCATTTCAAGCAACAAAAAACACTAAACTTCAAAATTTTCAGTTCAAGTTATTACATAGAATTTTAGGTACACACTCTTTTCTTTATAAGTGAGGTTTAACAAATACAGAAATATGCTCTTTTTGCACTGAAACCAAAGAAAGCTTACTGCATATCGTTTGGGAATGTGTACACAGTAGAATTATTTGGATTGCACTTCAAAACTAATTATTAAATTGTGGATTTACCCTTAAACAGATAGATGCAAGGGATGTTATGTTGACACATATAATACAGTTCAACAAATAATGTTGATTTTAAAATGTTATATTTATAGCTGTAAAAATTCAGGAGAAAAACCTTCTTTGAAAGGTAGTACTGAATATTTAAAATATTGTTTTAAAATAGAACAATGTACGGTGAATTATTTATTCCCTATACAAACAGAATATATGTATGAAAAATGGTTGCCATTAGATTCTGTCCTAGGTGATTTAAATATTCCATAACTGGTACAAAAATTATAGTTATATCATTTTTCATGTTTGCTATTTAGAGTTGATGTAATAGAATAGACTTTAAAGGAAATATCTTAAAAACCATACTTGAAACTGTACACCTGTAAGTAAGCTTGGTGTATTCTGTCTTTATGTCAAAAATAAACAAATTACAAAAGCAGTGTCTTTTTTAAGATGAAAACTTGTTATGGCATTGCATGACAGTCGTAAATACTGTTTTTAATATAAGAATATCTATATATTTTCAAGCTTAGATAAACTTACTTTCAGAAAGATTGGATCTATCTTTATCCTCCTCACATTTTCGTGTCAGTTTATTGTAAGAAAACCCTTCGTTGCACTGGTTTTGTCCTCTATCTCCCAACAAGAGGTTACGAAGGACATCAATGGGTTCAACTGGCTTCTTAAGTCCTAAATAAAACTGATTAGTGTAGTTTAAATAACGAAAGATAAATAAGCAAAAATATCGATAAAAAACACAGAGTACTATTGTTTATAAAAATAAGAAGATGTGGTATGTGTTGCCAATGTGACAACACTCCACAAGAGACCAAATGACACAGTTACCTGTATCATTGTACTATCACAATCGACAAAAGAATACTGATATGGTCTTTGCATAATATCAAGAAACAGGAAAAAGATGAATGAGTACGGAAACTTTGTATTTCAAAATGTTTTATATTTTTGTGTCCTAGTGTCAAAGGTAAGGAAAATGGTTTTTCTTTTTTTTTGCCAGTTATTTTTGTAGGATGATATTTAGTATAAATTATCTTCTAGTATTTGAAGTGCTCTTTAGTACAAAAAAACATCAAAATTCGATGCAAATTGAAATATAGACAGAAGCGTGTCTATTTGGGAAATATTTAATATGAAAAGAAGATATGGTATGATTGCCACTGAGACAACTCTCCACATGAGACCAAATCACACAGAAATTAACTATAGGTCACAGTACGGCCTTCAACAATGAGCAAAGCCCATACCGCATAGTCAGCTATAAAAGGCCCAGAAATGACAAATGTAAAACAATTCAATCGAGAATACTAACGGTCTAATTTGTGTACAGAATAATGAACGAAAAACAAATATGTAACACAGCAACAAACGACAACCACTGAATTACAGGCTCCTGACTTGGGACAGGCGCATACAGAATGTGGCGGGGTTAAACTAGTTTGAAGGCGCCAACCCTCCCCTAACCTTGAACAGTGGTTTAACAGTACAACATAAGAACAGCTTGTTTTAGTTGTAAACTAACCTTAAAAAAAACTACACTTACAGAAGTTTATACTATTAGTATCGAATCCCAAATAAGGAACTGCGTATTGCTACCGATTTACGAAGTAAGCATGCTGATTCTTACATTTAAAAAGTGTTTTAACTTATCAGCGTTGACTATATGATAAACGATGATTTTTTTTAAATATATCATGAGAGAACTAACGCATAGTCATTGTTTCTTTTATTTACTCTAATTGTTGTGATTACAATTCTTTACTAAATTTAAAATTGTCTGTGAACTCCAATAACCATCTAATTATCTTAAATGGACCATGAACAAAAATCATTGATCTAGTATACATAAAGCTTAATTCAAATTTAAATCATGAAAAAATTAACAAAATCGTATGTACTATTAGTATAATGTACTTTATATTTCCATTAATGATTATGCTTCTGATATTTACAAGATAAAGAATTTTTGAACATATTATACAGCTAAGATATGATACCGATTTTGCGGATAGGAATATTTTTTAAGCAAGCAATTCCTCGGTCAAAATTCATTGTATTTAGGAATTTGTAAAATTACTGTTAATATGAAAATTGTTGTTCGGCAGTGCAATCGGATGCACTTATCGAGGGTTATGAGGAGAGAGCAAGTTTGTTGTCTCTGAGATGCCAAATATTTCTCTTGGGACCAAGGGCAATTGTTTGTTTCAAAGGGACAACAAACTTACCATTCTCTTCATAACCAGTTGTTAAAGGTGATTCATTTTATCAAACAAAAAAACTTCGAAGAAACATCATTACCTGGCAAAAAAAAGTATTGGTAGCTGGTGTATGAAAAGGCATTTTTGTCCCTGTGTTATTTCTTAATTTTTAAACCGACTTAAATTAGATGACAATGACAAATATAAACAATTATAACGTATAGATTGATTCCCTGTTTTCCTACATTTCAGCAATTAACCTGACGATGTGAAAAGTCTAAGCAACGCGAATAGTCCAAGGCGTCATGTTTGTTGAAAAATAAATATTGATCAGTTTGGGAAATATCATAGCAAAACTTTTGACCGGTTAAATGGTCTTTGAATCTTTTTATTATCAAAAAGTTTTGGAATGAAAAACCGAAAATATGTCATTCTGTTTTAAAAAGAAAAGTTTTATTATATGTAAATGTTCTCACTAGTATCATGGTTGTCATTTGTCATTATGTAACAATGATTTACCAGATCTTGAGTTTATTAACGCAGCAAATCCGAATTGGAAACTTGACGGTTTATTTGTCAGTCAAACAAAAATATTTGTGATTTGAAAAGGTCCTTGAAATAAGAAAGAAAATAAAAAAGATGTTAACTGCTGGTGTAGCTATTTATATATTAAGATATGGTTAGTTTTATTTTCTATCATTTTATGTGACATTTTTTATCTCTTGAGTATATTTACAACACCACATCCAATGTAATTACATGAAATTCTAATGAAAGTTTAATAATGCATTATTTTTAATAGTACACTGTAACTCAAAAATAAACTGCGCCGAATGCAGAACAAAAATTTCTTTTAAATGAAAGTACCATGTATTCAAAAACTGTATTTTAAACTGTATTATAAATATTAATAATATATATGAATTTATGAAAACTAATTACATACACTTATATATTAAATTTCGGAATCCAAATTGTATTCCAAAATAACCAGTGGCACTTATTATTCTTGATATCGTAAAAAATAAAAAACCTTGCAGTCATTTAGGGATAGTTACTATAGTACTGAGTAGACTAGAATAACTGTCAAAAGGGAATTGTTATTAAAATTTGACAAAATAAAATGAAATTATAAACTTGAAAATGAAAATTTGTAGACAGAAGAAATTTAAGATAAAACACCAAACAAATAAGAAACATTAATGAAAAATTAGAAGAAAGTAATGGATTCTTATTTAAATACATACCTTCAACGTGTCGGGTTAGTGTGATCTCAAAGCACATAAACACCAGAAATAATGTCGACACTGATCGTGGAATATCCATGTCTACCTTCCTAAGCGAAGTTTTTCTTATCTTCTTTTTTTTTCTCAATTATCTATACAAGAACTTAAACTTTGCACTGATTTTTTTAACATTTTCAGCCTTTTTTATACAACATGCATTGACACAAATTCAATTAAGTGAATGGTACGTATGATGGGTTAATTCGAAATTAATATGGCGTTACATCTAATCTCTTGGTTTGATTGACGAAAACCTCGGACCAAACCTTTTATTCAAATCACCTTCTTTAATAAAAAAAGAAGTCATTGCAATGTTTTCATTTATGAATGTAAGCTTATATATTAATATATATTATTAGAATTACTGAATCTGATGGCTAACACATGATTAATTGAAACCAACAAATATAAGTTTCAACCTTTACTGACATGAACTCTGATTTATAATTAGTCTATCGGCCCAGATACAAGTCAATAACCTCTACGAAACCGTATTTAATCCTTTAATAGAATTTGCGTAGGTCTGTGTTGATGCAAATGCACCAATAACACATTCGTCATTCTGAACATAATTCATCGAAATAAAATTAAATTTATTTTTGCGTAGATTAATCTTTTGTTGTAATCTTTATTTAAACACTTTTTCATACACATTTTTTTCGGAAATATATGTGCCGTGATTTCATTTAAAAGGTTAAAAAGCTTGAAGAAGAAAATATAATTTTGGCTAGCTTGTTGTATAAATTTAGGGATGGAAAGCTTTTTGAGGTTTTGTTGAGGTATACAAGCATTGACCGGAACATATTTTGTATGAAGCGGCGGTGTTAAAACCAGAAAACCAAGCTTTATATTGCTTTTTTTATATTATCCAACTAATTGTTTTAATGCTTTCATGGAGAGCACGCGTAGTCGTTGGGTGATCCTATGTTTTTTCGGGAATTTAACATCATTTAGGAAACAATGCAATTGTTATCTTTTAAGGAAACTAATGGAATCCTTAAGAAACATATATTTAGGTGGGCTATAAAATGAAGCAGCAGTCTAACAATATAAGTCGATTTATGTCCAAAAATGTTTGTTTTTGTTGCAGTTCAGTGTTTCTGTTGTTCCGTTGTTTTCCTCTTATAGTTGATGTGTTTCCCCCGGTTTTATTTGTGACCCGGAGTTGTTTTCGCTTAATCGATTTATGACTATTGAACAGCGGTATACTACTGTTGCCTTTATTTACAATGTAGTAGTCAGTCTTATTCATTTCAATAAAACTATTTTGAGTGGATGAAATACGTAGAAACTTTCTGACTGCAACTCCCGATTTAATTGGCAGTAGTATTTCAAACATTTTTGACAAATTTTCGCAAAATTTCAAATATACCACATTAGAGAAGCTTTTGATTATGTTATTAGCTATTTGCGAAATGCTGTATTCAAGATTAGATTAATTTTTAATTTGATACAGGATTTTCTTATGTTCCATGCATGTGTATGGAACTGTTACCTGTCACAAGAAGCATTTGTCATATACGTAGACACACAAGGATTATACAAGTCTACGGTATAATGTTATGTAGGGAATCACCATTACCAAGGCGAAATAATTGTTTTGGCAAATTGCATGATCATAGAAGTGCAACAGACATATACATGTTCACTAAACTAGGCTGCTTTGGACCAAATGTTATGGTTTTAGACAATACTTTTAAGAGTACTCTTCCATGACAATCAGAATAGACTTTTGCTAGTGGCGGAGAAGAACATTGTTTTAAGAGAGAAAAGTTGTCATTTTGAAATATTTTAGCTTAACTGCGTCAAACTTATCGAACAAATTTCTTTATGAGATCTGTAATATTTTTTTTTCTGGTACTTGTTACCGTCCTAAGGGAGAAGAATTACTGTGTTGTCAAGTGTGTCAATGTAGAAACGATGGAGTGTAATAGATAAACACTGTAAAAAATTTATCAAACATCTGCAAAAAAACACAACAGTGTATTCGATACTATAAAACAATAACAAATTCCGGAAAATGCTGACATTATTTGTACCATTTTTGCAAAACGAGGCTACCTGAGCTTTTTTCATATTTCATAGTGAGTACAACTGTTTTCTGATATTTTGAAACATTGGTCATTAATATTGTTTTTCTTTTTTTTTCTTTTTTTAAATAGAAATCAACACAAATTTGTTTACCTAGGACGTGGATACCAAATTTAACAGTAATGTAAACAGCAATTTAAGTATTAAGGCAACAGTAGTTTACCGATGTTCAAATCTTATAAATCGATTAAGAAGACAAACCAAGGTAAGAAACACAAACGGAAGGAATCGCATGAAAACCTGATAAAGCGTCCTGCTATGCCTGTATATCCCGTCATGCGAATCCACACTCAGTCAAAATTTCACAATCGGGAATAGGACACAAACGGTTAAATTACAGTCCATATGCCTATTTCCATATCTAAATATCTAAGACTACTATGACATGTATTACGTATTACTTAAGTAGCAGAATACCAGTAGACGATATTAATAAGTATGTTATACGAATATTTCAAAAGTTTATTTGTACACTGGTATTTGAATAGCAAAATTGCTGATTAAAGGATAATACATATGCAGAATGAAAAGTATAATGCCTCAAAAACAAATTTTTAAGGTGTACTTGATATGAGAGAGAGAAAAAAACAAAGCCAACAAATCCGTTAAAGTTCTTTTCGAAGTTTTAAATGTAAATTCATTCGAAAATATAAACAACTTATACAAGAAAAATCTTATCTCTAACAACTTTCATGTTAATCAAAATGTTGAAATTGAATTACTATTTTTGTTTTCTTATTTGCTTGTTAATGTTTGTTAACACTAGAAGCGTAAATATGATGATGAATATTGATTCTTTATTTTCTTCCAATTCCTGCTCCACCAAAAGCTCCAATACCTGCAAAGATATTTTTCATATAAACATATACTTTACGCATTTAATAATATATATGTACATCATAGGCCATGAATTACACTTCAACAAGATTCTATGATATAATACTACAAAATATCATATCAGTTTCTTGGTACTCTATCAATAGTAGCTCTTTTTGTACTATTCATTGTTATCTTAGTGCATTGTGTATTATGTTTTAAAAGGATTAAGACTTTAACGAAATATGTTGTGTATTTTTCCTATTCTTTAAATACTTTTTTCCTGTAATGTTTAGTAGTTGCTTTTATCAGTCTGTACACATTTTGATCCATTAGTATATGGTGGATAGTTGTCTCATTTGGCAAAAACACAACAACTCCTTATTTCAGTCTTTAAAAAAGAAGAGTGAGGAGATATCATGATGGAAACCAAAAACATAAGTCGAACAAAAGCTGACAAAACCTTGATCGAATGAAAAAGTACGAATATACAAACGGTAGTCATTTGTGACACTAACTTTTCACAACGATCAACCAAATTAGTATGGCGCATGTAAAACTTAAGCTTTATTATATTAACCCTTTGTACGAAATTTTCGTTGTAATTAGCAACCATCTCCGGAAATAATGATAGGAAAAGCAAGCCCTGGGATATTGTTTCAACGCCATATGCAGGCGCTGCTGGCTGTTCCTAAAGAGAAATTAAAAATTTACAATAGGAAAATTAAAAATCATCCTTTTGTCTTCAGGTTCAGTTCTGAGCCGATCCTTATTCCCACAAATTTGATGCAGACTTAATTGGATCTGTATTCATAATTTCAAGTTCAGGTAAAACAATATGCGATCAATATTTATCGAAAATATTCAATAAAAAAGATGCCATCGTTTTAGTGAAAAGTAAAGTTTAAGAAATGAAAATGTTAGTCTATTTAATAACAATTACAACTTACCATTTACTCTACAACTTTCAGTATCGGAGTCGTAGATTTCGTCATTCCCACATTCTATAAAAAAATAAAGCAGCTAAATTGTACAATGTATGTGCAACATCATGTAGGCCCTTAAACCAACCTATATTTGTTAAATCAAATAAAGTTGAATCTATCCGCTATGTAATTGAAATTAAAAAAATAAAAACATAAAATAAGCAAAATCTTTACAATTGCGAGGATATGTTAAGTTGGTGTTCGATATTTTAGATTAAACACGATTCATGAATTCATTCTTTTAAAGTAGTGGTCTATATAGTGAACTCTTTTCATAGTGTACTAAGAAAAGTAAAATAAAATTGCATATCTATATACAGCTGTATGCATTTTCAAGAGAACAATCCTGACACAGAAGAAGTAACGTACTTTTGCATTTTCCTGTAGTTGCATTGTACACTTTATTTTTCTTTGCACATTTAGCAGCTTTCGAAATTCTAGTTTCGAGAAGATTCAAATCAGAACTCTCTATTGTATTAAGGTTTTTCAGGACTCGCAATAATCCATATTCCTTTCTTCCTGAAAAAAACAAACAATTTCATTGAAATTTAAACATTTTGTTTATATATATTTATTTTAGATCCCTGTGAACTTCTTCAGTTCTTGATATTTTCCTCGATATTGACACAGATGGACAACCGCAAACTAAAGTCTATGTTAAATGTGATGGTTACAACTGTTCAATTGTCAACTTCCCTTCTCTCAGCAGTAACATATCTCAGTTATACCAATTTAGTAGCAATATACCAACTTCATCTGCATACGGTATATACATATCCCAACTCATTCGGTATTCAAGAGCTTGCAGCTGCTACTCAGACTTTGTAAAACGTCACCAGTGTCTGAGCAGAAAGTTGATGAACCAGGGTTATACCAAAGAACGTCTCGTCCTTTTTCTAAAAAAATTCATCGGAAGATACCAAGACCTTGTTGATAACTATTCCGTATCAACTTCACAAATAATACATGATGGTCTTGATTTATAGATTCTAGGTACTGACGTTGATTTCACAATTACGTGTTATAGTGTTCTTTTATTTGTCTTTTTCAATGTGGGTTTTTAAATAATTACAAATTTTGATTCCTAAATCTTATAAATTAAATGATTCAAACCAATCATAGTGTAGACATATTTCATTCTACATTCATAATATTCAATGTTGATATGGTAAATAATTATTATACCAAAATGTGGTTTATAAATAGCAAATTATGATGATATACTAATCATTCATTTAACAGAAGAAAAATTTGTGTAATGTCATCTGTTGGAATATATTAAGTATTACACATGGACAGGATGTTCCCCATAAAATTAAGGTATTCCACACCCCAGAGTACATGCAACTGTCAAATAGAAGTTATTGCTTTACCTGTAATCAGCCATACAACTTATCAGTTGACCGACCATGCCACTACAATTTAAAAAGTTTGTTGATAGATGAAAATGAAAATCATCATTTTGATAAAAAAAAAAAATTGAATTGAAATTGATGTTCTTCATCAAAATTATGAAGTTAATTATTTTAACATAAAAACAAATTGAATAATTCCCAAAGATTAAAAGAAAATTATTATCTACTCCAGGAATAATAAAAAAAATGTATTTATAATGGGTCCCATCAATGATTTCTATAGAAATCATCGGTCTAATGAAATGGCTCTCAAACAGACATGCATAATATAGATCTAAACATTTTTTTCTTTTCAGGAAGGAGTTATCACAAATATTTATTTTTGATAAAAAATATAAAATTCAACACTCAAATTTGAATAAAATATGTTTTTGGGTTGTTCTAAAAAATGAATAAAGTTTTTGAATCAAGATGGGAACAAATTCTTTGACCTAAACGAAAGCCCCCCCCCCCCCCCCCCCCCCCCTCTTTTTTTAGCCACACAAACCCAAAAGATGAATTGTGGGGTCCAAAAGAGATACAAGACACCTATTTTAGTAAAGCAAATTTGACTGGCAGTTTTGCGAACGGCAAAAATCTAAATGCTGTTTGTCAATACCTTCGACTTATATTCCAAGTGAAAATAATTACTTAATTGTTTAATAAAAATAAATCAAAATTAAACTACATGGGGGATTATTCAGGGTATTCCAACTTAGTTGCACCAAAAGGGTATCTTACTATACCAAATTAATCCTTGATTCTTCAAAGTTTAGTTTAGCCATAATAAAAAGGAGTATATAACAGCAATAGAATGTCATAAACAGTGCAGAATAAGTCTGTTCACATTTCAGGCGAAATTTATACTGTTGATATAGTGTCAAGACATATTTAAGACGTCAAGAATGTGTCGAGACATATTCAGACATTATTTAGAATGTCAAGAATATGTCGAGACATATTCAGACATTATTAAGAATGTCAAGAATATGTCAAGACAGATCGAGACAAATTTAAGACAGTCAAGAATTGGTCGAGACTAATCCAGACTCTTATCAGATGATACAGGAAGTGTCGAGAAATTTTAAGACAATGTTCATACTGTCAAGACACTTGTCAAGAAAAATCAAGAACCTTATTAGACAAATTCAACCTATGTCAAGAATTTTTTTAAATTATTCAGACAAATTAAGAATGTCGAGTAAAAATTCATGCAAATTCAGACAAAAACTGGTCTTTTCAGACTTTTTGACTTTTGTAGTGTATGTTTCACGGTCGATATCACGGACTGGTTGACCGTTACGATGTTTCGGTGTCTCTGTTTTAACGTTGTCATGAAGAGCACGTGAAGTCATAAATGTAGCATTGATACCGGGGGAAATTTTATAAAGGTATAAAATGCATCATCCATGACTGCACGTGCCTCGCCAAAGTTATAAGGAATCGTATGAAACGTCTTTGTAATGTTTTTATAATTGTGTAAAAGCTATACATCAACTACATTTTGGTAAATATAAACAAAATATTGGTTTATAGAACCACTTATTCGGGCTCGGTCGGAAAGAACATAACAAAAAAGTTTTACATACTCAAACAAAATAGTTCGTATGCATAGTTGTAACTTTGTAAAAAGGTAAGCATATTTGGGTAGTTTTGGTATCAGATTAAAGCTTAAGCTTTTTAACAGTTTAGTAATCGTACGGCCTTCAACGATGCGAAAAAACTCACTCATTATAGTATGTTATAAAAAGGCTCCGACAATTTTCGACAAACAAATATGACATACATGAACCAACGATAACCACTGAATTAAAAGCACTTTACTTGGGAAATACACATAGGTTAAACATGTGTGTAAGCGCTCAACCCTCCCTAACCCAGAACAGTTGTGTAACAGCGTAACATAAGTACTTACAAACTGTAAAAATCAGTTGCAAAAGGCTGAACCCGATACATCGGTACGAAGCATAAAAATAAACAACTGCCATAAAAACAATAACACTAAGCACCGATATAAGAGTACTCGAAGATACTGAAAGCTAATTCAAAGCCAGTTACAACTAATAAATAAATTATGTTCTCCAAGACTGAAGTATCAATCAGTACACATCCAAGGGATTAAATGCCAGACGTCGTAAACATAATCTTTATTTAAACTTAAGATAAAATAGCTAAGAATTCTTGAAATCGCAGAATTTAACATCGAAAGCAATGGGGCCATGAATTAGTTATTTTATTCCATAATAACTCCAATACCTCTTTAATCGAAGAAGGTAAACATTATAGATTAATTGATAGGGATACCAATATATATCAACCTATCAAGCCATCATACAAAATGTCCATATTTCGCAAGAAAAAAATCATATGACATTTGTACGTTTCTTCTTTTTTCTACAGTTGCAATGGAGGTAATAACGTCGTTAACGGTAAATGATGTATTTCGCGAAGTCAAAATGAGAAATAATGGAAAAAGATGTATTTTTCCACTGATTTTAAATATGAGCTTGAAAACGAGTATATGGACCCCTGTTATTTGACATTATTATTTGTTCAATTTTTTATGAAAAAATCATTGATGAATTTTTTTGAAGGGGCACAATATTTTCAATAATACCATGAAAATCATGTTCATAAGCTGCGATTTAGACAAAAAATTCAAATACAATTTTGTTTTGTTTCAAACAATTATATAAGCGGTTTCGCTTTTAGCAGTCAATTTGGGCAGAATAAGATAAACAAAAACTCGTTTGAATCCGTATTTATGTAACCCTGGCTTTACCAATAGGTAAAGATGGGTAACGCATGCCCTAAACGTGTCCATTTATTGTAAAGAAAATAATGTCAACATTGAAAAGTGAAACAAGGGAGCCAATATAAAAAAAAAACCATTTTTTTGGCCGATTCGGCCCACAAAAAAACATTCATATACAGGTAAAGCGATGATTTACATTTGTAAAATCTATGGCATGAAATCAAAAATTACACAACTCCACGTGCTTCTCCGTCTATTTCTATTTCTATGTATGCTTATATCGGGTCGAATGACTGTCGGCAGTCTTCGTATGTAATCTCGATGGTTAAGTAGATGGCAAATAGTCTAAAAATGCACACGAAATACTGGAAATACTGATACATTATAACGAGTCCATGCATTTTTAATTGTTTCTTTTGAACTTTTTGTAATTTGGATTTTCGTTTAGTATGTTATGAATAAAATATAAGAATTTAAGTTAAATCGGTGATCATGAATTTTTACAGCTAATGCGCCTTTAGATTAAAATATTTTTGTATGTATCAAAAATGCCGTATTTTTTTAAATACAATCTATTTAAATGGATCATTTCCAAAGAAGTGTTACACAAATTTAAAGTATAATATTGTAAAGAGGATATTTCAAATATTTTTTTCACAAAAATCCGCTTGTGTTTATCGTTTGGAACAATAATTTTACAGATTACCTTAGTTGTGTTCGGCAAAACCTTTCGGAATTTTGTGTCCTCAATGCTCTTCAACTTTGCATTTTTTTGGCCTTTCTAAATTTTGTGATTCGAGTGTCACTGATGAGTATTATGTAAACGAAACGCACTTCTGGCGTACAAAATTTTAATCCTGGTATCTATGAAAAGTTTAATTAGGTAGGTCTGCCCAAATGACAGAAATGTGTTAATGGTATTATTGTCAAAAATTGCGACCTCATTTATAAGTAGCACATAAAGTTTTTGTTATTGATTACGAGGAAGAATCTATCTAAATGTAAGTTTGGTCTCTTTCGAGGTCAAAATATATGAAATTCTAATAACAAAAATGACTGAGCTAAAAAAAAAGGCATAAATGATCAGAATGAGCACCAGATCAGGAAACTAGGAGACACTATTAACACAATAATTTCGGAAACGGCAAACAAACAACTAAATAAAACAAAATGAAAATTTTGAAAAGAATATCAAGATATAAACATTCTCACTTACTTTCATAACCCATCGATGTAGAAATCACTAATATGAAAAGCAGACCTTTTCCAAAATAAAACATCCTCACGTATTGACTGTTTTTGGCTTAATGTCCTGTTTAAAAGTATCTGATTTAAACATTGATAATTAAACCTATAAGTGGTTAAAGTTA